ATATATATAATATAATGTTCTCACGCCTATATATGTATGTGTCTGTGTGTATAAACACACTCATTCCCCTCCCCAATAAACACATTTTATGCGCAAATATACATATATGCGTACATATTTATACACCAATACATGATGTACAAACATGAACACCTAAACATTTCAGGATTCCATGCATTACGTCGCATTCCTCGCCTGTCTGTGCCAGCATTCCTCCACCCAGACACGATTCTCTTATCAAAAACTGAATGCCATGCCCCCCGGAGCTTGTGGCACCCGTTAACACCACGGAGTCTTCATAAATCTTCAACAAATTGACGCCAATAGGCAATATTGTTAAGAGATGAATACTTTACCTGAGACTTAATTGTTTTTGCAGCTACGCTGAACGGTGTATAAGCTATTACATATTTCTTTGAGAGCGCTATAGAGATGCAACAAACTTCCCTCTTCTTTTCGGACATAATTACTTTACAGAAAAAAATCCGATTTGTTTCATTTCTTAATAAGCGCCGGGAAATGTCAACATCAATTCTTTTCCAGTTTGCGGAATTTGGGGGTTCTTTTTAGGTTTTCCAACTTGCGAAGAGCTTTGTTCCTTTATTTTGAAGAAAACGTTCGCTAAAGCAGCTTTAATATACCCTCGAGTGAGCTTATATTGCCATTGACATATCCCACAAGTACCCAAATTATGTTTTGAAGTTTTGAGAAAATTTAAGAAAAAAAGAGCCCAAACAGACCCATGACTTTGGCACTCCTTTTCGCTTAATTTAGAAACAAGGACAGGAATGACGAAACAGAACAAAACTACATTGTGAGATGTCTGCTTTTGAATAACGGCTTTTCTGGAGCCCCCCCCCCCCCCCCCCACGACTCATCCGGCGATTGTGTGATGACGCTGACAATACAGTTTCAAAAATGATAAGAGCTCCGAAGTAAGCAAAGAGATCATATCTGAGAAGATCTAAGTAAGCAGAGAGGAGAAATCTGAGGAGACAGCACGATATCCAAATACATTTTTGCGTACTCACCAACTTGGACAATTTGCATCATCATCAACGTCACAAGAAAAATCCCCAGGACTGAGGCCGGAGATCCAGACCTTCGCAGCAGGATATTTCTCGCGGTTCTCTCAGTGTCTCTGTCGCCAGCACTGTTGTAGCCGCTATCTCTACAACAGTTGACGGTGACACTTCTGCTGCCACGACTCCTTGTGTCCGTTTGGGGAGGTTTGACGAGTGGCGTATTTTCTTTGGAGACGACGAGTTCCTTACGTATCCGGGGTGGTGGACGAAAGAGTTGGATCGGAGTGTACTCATACCGGGCACGCATCACTTTCGTGTTCACGTGACCGCCGAAGTGCCTCCTCGAGCATTAGAGAAAGAGAGAAGGAGAGAGAGAGAGAGAGAGAGAGAGAGAGAGAGAGAGAGAGACAGAGACAGAGAGAGAGACAGAGAGAGAGAGAAGGAGTAATTAGTCTTTAGAAATTGTTCAAGTCAGCTGTTTTTTAAATGCGCATCATAATTATTGCAAGATCATGGAAAACTATTGAAACAAGTCAACATGTTCCGCACCATGGATAGTCTGCTACAGTCAATAGAAACGAAGAGGTAGCACTACCTTGTGACCTTTTTCCCCCCTAAATGCTGAGGAGAACCACAATAAACGGTTTTAGTCAGACTATCCCAGTGTTGTTTCCGTTGGAATTGACTCATAGTTCAATGTTTACACACTGAAATCCTGTGGAAAAGTTAAAAACCTCGATCGTTATTAAACCACTTCAGACGCCACTTCGCAGGTTTCCTCAGAAAGCATTGATCTCCGCAGGGGGCTTCTTTGCTTTCTGCCAGTCCTATGAATACAGAAAGTGCTGTCAATCGAAATGGTTGAATTATTCTCCTTGCATTTTTAACGGCTGAGTAAACAAGCGAGCAGCCAGCGGTATCTGGATGTGATGGTGAGAGAGCTCACCTTAGTTTCACGTGAGCCAGTCTGGAGAGTCAATAAAACGGTCATGGTCGAGGAACTGAGACAAAACCTCCCTGCTAGGGATTCTGGATTTATTTCAGCTCGCCCGGGGCTGCACTTGCCTGCTGAATGAAGCTGTTCATGAAATAAAGACTGCTGCACTTGGAAGTCACTTGTGAACTTGCTTCTCTCTCTCTGCGAAAAAAAAGAGATAGAAAATTTGGTTACTTCTTTTTTTTCCTCCTTTTTTGTGATGGTGAGTAATAGTTTAACAGGGACAGATAGAGAAGCAGAGCGAGAGAGACACAGACAGACAGACAGACAGACAGACAGACAGACAGGCAGACAGACAGACAGACAGACAGACAGACAGACAGACAGAGAAGAAGAGAGATTCAAGAAAAGAATGATAGGGAAGGGGGA